TGGAGATGTAAGTACAAGCTCATAACTCCCAGAGCTTTTCTCCCATTGCCTTGTTTTTAGTTAAATGTGAAATGTCCTAACACCATGGCTTATCACAGATGTCTATGGTATGATATCATTGGATAATCTGTTATAGGGAAAACTTTTTAAAATGTATATTAATGATTAGAGGAAGGGAAAATGCATACTGTGGTTCTGACATCTGTATTTCAGAACCCGGAAATGGTCAAGTCTAAGATGCATATTTATGGGTCTTCATTGTAAATATGGTGTTAGTAAGAAAGCTAGGGTGTAGCTCAATTTGTAGAATGCTTTCTTATAACATATGCAGCCCTGGGTTTAGCATCATCACATAAACTGGGTGTAGTGGCTCATGCCTATAATCCAGTACTTTTTATCCCAGTACTAGGCAGGTGGAGGCAGAAAGATCAAAAGTTCAAGGTCAGTGTCAGCTACATGGTGAGTTCTGGGCCATTCCTGGGCTACATGAATCCTTGTCTTGAAAAAAGAAAACAAAAAAAAAAAAAGAAGGAAAAGAAAACAAGTTGAGGTTTTGGGAAGCAACACGATTTTGGGGTATGGAAGGAATAGCAAGAGAAGAGAAAATGGTATTGAGTGCAAAAGAATGAAAGGTTGGAAGAATTATAGAGCAATTTTTACACTAAGAGTTTTAAGTTGAAGGAACTGTAAGGATATATTTGAGCAGATACAGAAATTAGGAAATGATAAATGGCTCAGATTTGGAAGGCAGCTATGCTCACCACTATACCACCAACGCCGCACTGCTGGTTCAAATTTGGGAAGAGAGCAAGTATAATCTAGAACACAGGACAATTTAGTTCAGCAACAAAAGCTAATGTTGGAAGGCAGTACTAAGTCACGCATAGAGGGTAAGAGAACTTGAAAGTATGAGACTTGGGGAAGTGAATGGTTTAAAGCAGGGAACACCTGCAGCATGTCAGAGTCTCTTTTACAGTGACCATGGACTCTTAGTATAATCATCCCGGTTTGGTTTGTAAGCTTTCTTCATTGGCATTTACTCCCCTAATAGGAAAACAAAGGAAGTAGGCAATAGGATTCATGCCAGGTCAGGGTCATGAAAGTGGGCAAGTTAGAACAAGGAAGAAGATCAGAAGTTGAAAAGATTGTCAAGAGTTACTGAAGGGATGGTTTGTGAATGTGGGCCAGTTGGAGAAGCCAGGCACCAACGGATTGGGAGGAAATGGGCAAATTGAGGCATTAGTGGGAGGGTGAGGACAAGATGACTAGAGGGTGAGGCCAGAGCTTTGGAATTGGAGACTCTGAGGGAATTGTGTGACCTTGGCCATTCTAGGTTAGAACATAAGTGCTTACAGAGAATAAGCCACAGGTCCAGAGTGGTCAGGATTGAGGTGTAAAAAAATCCTGGATCAGATCCTAATATATTTGGTCAGCATGTGCAAGCTTTCCAGGTTAATGTTTGCATGTGTTCCTAGTCAATAGTAACATGGAGTCTGTTCTGTCTTCTCGAGGAAGAGGCATCCTCTTCAGCCAGTTTCCGCCTATGCCACTTAAGGTTTGTAAGAAGCTTGGCTGCATGGAGACTTATCAGTTGTGCCTTTATATATTATGTATGTGTGTATAAGTGCGGCTTCATTTCTCAATGCTGTGACAGAGTCAGCATCTAAAGGAAAAGGCTTTATTTTGGCTCAGTTTGAGTTTGTCATAGAAAGAAAGGTGTAGTGAAGGAGTTCACAGAGGCAGCTCCTCACATCCTCTGGATTAAGGTGCAGTAAACAGAAACAGAAGCAGAAGGCCCAGCCCCAGTAGCCATGTCTGTTCCCTGTGCAGTGTCCCAAATGCTCCCAGAGTAGCACCACCAGCTGGGTCCAGGTTCAGACATAGGAGCATCAGGAGGACATTTCACATGAATCCCACAAATCTGTATAAACAGTGACTTTAAGGAGCACATGGTGATCACAGAATTCACAGTGGATACTAGACTTTCCTGTTGTGTTTTTGCCTCATTACAGGCACACTGATTACCTTGGGAGCCCCAGGCTCTGTCCACTGATGACCAGTTTTCACTTGTGTACCATAGGTTATCAAGGCTGCCTACAACCAAGTAAAAGCAGTTGCTCAAGGAAACCTTTCCAGTGCAGATGTCCAAGCTGCCAAGTAAGTTTCTATATTAATTATGTATGTCATGCTTCAGTTACTTAAAAGCTGATTAAAAAGACAATACTATCTACTCATAAGAATTGAAAAGTAAAGAATTGTATTAAAAAGGAAAGGTTATAATTTAGTGGTGGAGACTTGGCTTGCATGTACAGGACATGGGTTCTATTCCCAGCACTGCAGAAATGACCCTTTTTTTCCTTTCTGATGGTTTTTTTTTTTATATTTAGTTTTTTTATTTCATGTCTATGAGTTTTTGCCTGCGTGTATATGCATAACATGCATGCCTGATGCCCTCAGGTGAGGAAAGGGTGTCGGATCCCCTGGATCCAATGGTTGTGAACCATTATGTGGGTGCTGGGAACCAAACCCATTTCCTCTGCAAGAACAACAAGTTTTCTTAATCATTGGGCCATTTCTCCAGCCTCATCCTTTTTTCTTTTTTGTATGCATGGGCTCACCATGCCAACGCACGTGTGTGGAGGTCAGGCGATAACATGGAGGAGCTGTTCCCTCCTTCCGCTGTGTGGGTTTCAGGGACTGAGTTTGGGTCATTATGTCTGGCAGCAAGCACCTTTACCCCCAATAATTCATTTCCAGTATAGACAACTCAGATGCCTTTTGAAGATGTTTTTAAGGAATAGCAATTTCTTTATGGCATAATTGTGAATTGAGCCTGTCTGTTTTATTTAAAAATGAAGCTTTTGTATCCATATTTAAGCTGTGGAGCATAGAAGTCATCATATTGCACCATACTTCCCTTCCTGCTGTCTCCTTCATACCCTTCCCTCATTGAGATAAATCCTGGTGGAGTAATGGGATCTAGTGGGGTGTGTGTCTGTGTGTGTGTGTGTGTGTGTGTGTGTGTAATTATCAGTCAAGTGGATGGTGCATTAAGAATAAACATACGTAGATATTTTCCTTATTATAAATGCCTGGAAAAAATAAAATTAAAATAACTAAATAAAAATATAATCATAGCCAGACATGAAGTTCACACCTTTAATCCTAATGCTTGAGAAGAAGAGGCAGGCAGGTCTCTTTAGTACAAAACCAGCCATAGTGAGTGCCAGACAAGGCTATGTAGGAACCCTATCTAAACGATAAATGAATGAATGAATGAATGAATAGGAACCCTATCTAAACGATAAATGAATGAATGAATAAATAAATAAATGGCAGCAACAACAAATACATTCTTTTTCATAAGTTAAAAGTTGCTCCAGGGTCAAAACTCACCTTAAAGTTTTACATAGATGTAAGCTATACTCCAGAATCAAAAGGCAGCCTGTTGAGTGTGAGTGATGTTTTGTGTTGACAGCTTTCCTGTTGATTAATGATGTGAGTGAAGCCCTTGCTGAACTAAGAATAAGAAGTACAGCATGCTTTTAGTCTGTTTGAAGTACATTTACTCTCTTGCTGTTAAAATATAAAACTGATTCCTGCCTTGTATTGGACAGGAACAAGCTGAAAGCTGGATACCTGATGTCTGTGGAGACTTCAGAGGGTTTCCTGAGTGAGATTGGGTCACAAGCTCTAGTTGCTGACTCTTACATTTCACCACCCACCTTCCTTCAACAAATTGACTCTGTGGCTGATGCTGATATCATAAAGGTAAGCAAATGACCCACTTTCAGAAGAACCTCATAAGCTTCCTTGGAGCAAGAGAACTCTTTGCATCATATCTACAGTCAGCCTCCCTAGTAACGTGGGTGTGTGTCTTCTTATTTAAGGAAATTCCCATTAGGTTGAGCCATTTTAAACTGTTGGTGGTCAGGAGGAGTCAGATAAACAACCTCACAGGTTTCATGACTGTTTGCTGCTCCTTCACCCCCAAGAAGCACCTTGCCAGTCCTTTACCACACAGGGTCTCATGGTTTTCTACAGCCTAAGACCTTCTATTGCTAGTTTTCCTTGCCCCCTCTTAAATATTATTTTTCCCTACAAGATTGAGTTGTTTGTTAAAACCAGGCATGGTGGTGCATGCTTTTGATCCCAGTACTTGAGAAGTAGAGTCAGGTAGATCTCTGAGTTCAAGGCCAACCTGCTCTACAGAGCAAATTCTAGGACAATCAGGGCAACACAGAGAAACCCTTCTCGAAAAATCAAAAAAACCACCAAGGTGAACTCCAGTATACATCATCTACAGTAAGGATATCACTCCCTTTTCCACTGTAGCTGTCTTAGCATCTTCTCACCATTGTGTGCTGACAGTGGGATAGAAGAGACAGGCTATTTGTAGATGCTGATCCTGCCTGCATTTCAGTTGGCCCCAGACTCATCTGAACATAATCTAAAAAGTATACTTATGTGTAAGGGCTGTGTGAATCCCTGTTCGCCCACTTCCACCACCTCTCTTGCATCAGAAAAGCTAACCAGGGTAACATAGGAGCTTCTGCTCCACCCAGTCCTGCCCTGTGCTAGTATACTTAATATAACCTTTGAATTTGAAATAATGACATGGAGAACACCAGGGCAGCCAGGCATGGGAACAGATGCCTGGAGCCCTCCCGCATTCTGGAGGCTAAAGCAAGAAGATGGTGAGCTTCAAGCAACTTGGACTACGTCTTCTCAATACCACCACCAACAGCCCCTCTTCCAAAATAAAAAGAACCCCAAGACATATATTTTACTTTTCTGTCAGCAGTGAGATTATTTTGGTCGACCCAAGCCTTTGCTGTCATAATACAGAACAAAGTGCAGCCTAGCAGCAGCCATTCTGTCCCGGTTTTGACTGTCAGTGGGTTTTTTTATTATTTTTCAGAACTCTCCTCATTTGGAGATCTCCTGCTTGCTTAGTTGGGCACGTGATGTTGTTCACATTCAGAATAAAACACTGACCATCTCAGTGTTTATTTATTGATAGTCTTAAGAGGCTGTGTTATAGAATTGCAGACTTAGAATGTCTTGTTCCTAAACTCAAAATACATGGTTTACTACTTGATAATAGCATGATTTAACTTTCTGTGTTTTGTTTAAGGCTGCAAAAAAATTTGTTTCTGGCAAGAAGTCAATGGCTGCAAGTGGAAACTTGGGACACACACCTTTTCTTGACGAGCTCTAACAGCTGTTTTCTCAGCCCAGACCAGCAAACACATCAAAGTCGGGTCTCTTAATTTAACATTCGACATTTTTCTCAATGAAGTACTTAAGAGTATAAATATGGATAGTTATTCCCAGCTTCCCTAAAACAAATAAAGCATTGTGTGTAAGTGTTTTTCTTGCATTCTTTCTAGGCAGTCAGCAGTTATTTATTATATGCTGAGATCTTTGTTTTCAGTGCTTTAAGAAAGACAGTAGTACAATAATTGAGTTTACCAATTCCATCAGTTAAGAAATTTCAGAAACTATTGAGGCTAAGCAGCTCTGAAAGTAAAAATTCAAGATTATTGGTCTCTTTTTAAAATAAAAACAAGTTTAAAATTGCTCATTTGTGGCTAACAACAATCGGAACGGTCTGGGTTTTGCCCCCCTTTGTGAAGGTATTTTTCTAAGAAACATCTTCATTTATGTCTGACTTTCCTTCTCTGTGACAGTGTTTTTCTCTCTGCCTCTAGCTCACCTGTTTCAGTCTTATCTCATTTAAATAATTCTCAGCTCGATATACCAAGTAAAAGTGTCACTGAAAGGTTGGGAATGGGATTGTAAAGTAAACAAACCAGCCCAGAAACATGCAAAGAAAACTTCACCTTAAAAGACAAATGGTCAGCATTCTGGTGATTGAGTTTGTACTTGATGTTAAAAATAATGATGTGATTCTGGGAACCACAGGGAAGGAGTCCTAAGCAGTTAACTGAAGAAAGTCTGTGAAGGTTTTTTCTACTGTCCTGGAAGAGCTGTAGGAATTCTACAAACCTATACATAGTAAGGCACAAAAATTGGATATTTAAAAATAAAAATTCCTGTGGCCACAGATTTGCAAACCAATGCCTAACCAAACTTTGATACCTGCTGACCTTCACCCTGCTCAACCTGTGCACAGTCTTCCAGCCAAAAGGCATCTGAGTTGGAGGAAGCTGCGGAGGATGAGGAGGAGGTGACTTTGTCGTGCTCCACCATTGTCCAGTATGGAGAAGGGGCCCTCGGTTTTGTCTTGTCTTCTTTGTGAATAACTACATCACAATTAACATCTTTGCCAACACTAAAAGTGTGGTCCTTCTTTTTATATCTATGCCATTCTGTGGAGATTGATATCGGTGTCCTCACAGGGTGATTCCAGACTGACCGAGGATATCTGTAATACTTGAGTCTTTTATCTAAAACGACATCTTCATGGTCATCTGTGCTTGCAAAAGGCTCATCTTTTGCCTGCTCCTTTGTTTTCTTTGGTGTGCTGAAATGAAGAGTGAGTGCAATATATTGTTAATGTTTTAACAGAATCCCCTGACAGAATCTTATAAACTACTTTCTCTTGTAAATTTAAAAAATAAAATATTTGGGGCTGGAGAGATGACTCAGATAAGGCAGCTCACAACTGTCTGTAACTAGTTCTGGAGGGACCCTGTGCCGCCTTCTTACTTCTGTAGACACTGTGCTCACCTTGCACGCACGCACGCACGCACGCGCACACACAATCAGAAAAAAAGCCATTGTTTTCTTTTTTGTGAAAACCTAAAGATAGAAATTACCTTCATTACTTTCTGTATCATCAAGTGTTGACTAAATGGATTCTGGGTGCTTGAATACTTTCAGGTTCATTTATGTGTATGAGTGTTTTACCTCATGTATATATGTGTGCCTTGTGTATCCTGCTGTCCATGGATGTCAATTGAAGTTGTCATGTCTGCTGGAATTGGAGTGATAGATAGTAGGTACTTAAACATTTAAAGTCGCCTAACAAAACATTTTCTAGCTTTGATAATCTACAGACATAAGTCAGTACTTTCTTATTCATTGACAAGGCTGCCCACACACACACATACCTCCCCCACTACTGTAGAGCTCAACCCATCCTATCTCTGGCTTAAAACACTCAGATCTGCCTACCTCTCCCTCCCAGGTGTTGGGAAGTTTCTCTCTTTTTAGAAATACTCTTTGACCTGGAGAGATGTCTGTTAAAGGCATCTTTTAATTTTTTTCCCCAATCATAAATAAAATTCCTGCCTTAAATTACTTCACACTACTTTAAAAGAAAACGTTAAGGGTTTTTTTGGGGTGGGGGAGAAGGGTTAAGACAGGGTTTCTCTGTAACTTTGGAGCCTGTTCTGGAACTAGCTCTTGTAGACCAAGCTGGCCTTGAACTCACAGAGATCCACCTGCCTCTGCCTCCCAAGGGCTGGGATTAAAGGCGTGCACCACCACTGCCCTGCTGAAAACATTAAGATTTAAACTAGACCACTGACTAGACTAGAATGAGGCTTTAAAGGATGAACTAATTTCATTGTGCCTTGAGTGACAGGTTCAACCTGGCCCTCTAGACCAGAACTCTGTTCTCATGGGTTATATGGCAATAATGAAAGATAACCCACTACGGGGGAGTCAGGCGATGGTGAGCTCTTCAGCATGCTAGCCATTAGTAATTCTGGGGTTTCTTTTCCCCAAGACAGTACTGCACGTGCTGCCACTCTCCCTTTTTGTTCTGAGTCACAGATAGGGCTTATACAGCACTTTTTAAGATTTATTGTGTATACAGTGCTCTGCTTGAATGTATGCTTGCACACCAGATCTCATGACAGATGGCTGTGAGCCACCATGTGGTTGCTGGGAATTGGACTCAGGACCTCTAGAAGAGCAGCCAGGACTCTTAACCTCTGAGCCATCTCTCCAGCCCTTGTACATCTGCTGTCACCAAGTTTTCAAGACTTTTCTTCTCTAACTCGCTCCTGGCTGTGGCTTGACTGTTGAAACCCGGATGATGCTTGGATTCTGCTATCTCACTTTGCTGTTAGACCCTAGTAACTCTTATTCATCCTGGCGCTCCTGCTCCTGTGGTTATTGCTCTGTTTCTAAGAATTTAAGCAACTTTTCGCCGGGCTATGGTGGCCTTTAACCCCAGCATTCGGGAGGCAGAGACAGGTGAATCCTTATTACACAGGGAAACTAAGTCTCGGGAAGAAAAAAAAAGAAAGAAAAAGGAAAAAAAAAGAATTTAAGCAACTTTTCCTAAAGTTTATCTCTTATAATAATAATGGGGTTGAGTGGAGTTTTATTACACACAGCTAGTCTTAAAGGTGTGAAAGTAATTCTAAAGATCTCGGGACTACAGCTGTATGTCTCTGCCACACACACAGATCTTCCTGAACAGCGTAGGAATGGAGGTCAAAAACAATCCGTGTTAACTTTTTTTTAGATTCAATATGTATCCTTGGTTAGACAGTAGCCAAGGGTACATGATAGGTCTAGGCTCTTATTAACTTGGCACTAGATGATAAAAAAAGGTCCAACCAGCAATTCAGGGTTAGCTGAAAACAATTGACCTCTACAGAGTATAGATGAGAGGAGTAGCCTTTACCATGTGCACACAGCCATTTGCCCTGAACAGTCTACTGACTGAAAGACCCTTTCCTACCTCTGTCCTTCCCTGTCCCCATCATATATGTTACTAAGATTCTTTAAGTGTCCTTTGTCCAATTGAGGAAGAAATTCAGAATGTGCATGGTATTGTTTAGGGGCATCAGCCATCTAAAAAGTTCCTGTTCTTAAATTTTGATACTCTGACTTCAAATTCTTCAGTATGATACAAATACTTAAGAGTTGCTGGGCCATGGTGGCGCACACCTTTAATCCCAGCACGTGCAAGGCAGAGACAGACAGATCTCTGTGAGTTCGAGGACAGCCTCATCTGCAAGGACTAGTTCCAGGACAGGCGCCAAAATTACAGAGAAACCCTGTCTCAGGGAAAGAAACAATAAAAATACTTAAGAGTAATACTCTCCAGTGTGAGAGTTTTCAGCATGTGGCTATTGATTTTAAATTAATTACATTTGGAGAAAATTTTAAATTCCTTAATTGCATATCTAAGTGCTTAATAGCCACATTTGTGGCAAGTTTATGCATATGTCTGGGGTCTTCATTTCTTCTAAAGTGAGGGTAAGAAGGGTGACAAGAGCAGGGTGTGGTGGCACACACATGCCTTTAATCCAAGCACTGTCTTTAATCCCGGCAGAAATGGGCAGATCTATATAAATTCAAGGCCATGCTGGTCTACGTAGTTCTAGGACAGCCCGCCGCTCCTTATGCTACAGTCATGTATGATTATAGTCAAATACTGACTTTAAAAAGATTTTCCCAGTCTGCTTCATCTGAAGGGCAGCTGCTCTCCCACTCGGGCCTGCACTGCCCCCACACTGGAACACAGGTCCATCTGATTTTTCAGGAGAAATCAAAGATACTGATTCTTTCTATGGAATATTTGCAGATTTGGCATATAATTCAGATACTTTTCACTTTTAAATTTTTGAAATATGCAGAAAAAAAGAATAATTTTTAAAAATCAACAAACCCTTTCATGGCTACCACTCATGTCAAGAAATACCGTTCTAGCTGCTGGTTGAACCTTCCATACATCTTCCTTGCTATGTCACTGCTCTTTCTAGGTGAGGAGCTAAGCAAATCACACCTGTGGGCTACATCGGAGCCTTGGGGCCCAAGTTTGGACATATGAAGTAAGGCTAATATGTAAAGGTCATTTTCTTTGTGTGTGTGTGTGTGTGTGTGTGTGTGTGTGTGTGTGTGTGTGTGTGTGAATAATTTCCTAACCTTTTTTTTTAAATTTTTTATTCATTTTACATACTAACCACAGCTTGCGCTCCCTCCTCCATCTCTTTCCCAACCTAACCCCAATCTACTCCTCAAAAAGGGTAAAGCCTCCTCCCATAGGGAGTCAAACAAAGCCTGGCACATTAGGTTGAGGCTGGACCAAGCCCCTCCCCTCTGCATCAAGGCTGAGCAATGCATCCTACCATAGGGAATGGGTGCCAAAAAACCAGCTCATGTACCATTGTCAGGGGCCCCACAAACAGACCAAGCTATACAACTGTCACCCACATACTGAGGGCCTAGTTCAATCCATGCAGGCTCCCCAACTGTCAGTCTAGAGCTAAAGGTCATTTTCTAGTCTTGGTCTTTAGCCATATTTCTGAGCAATGCACAACTACAGAAACCAGCTCTTGAGAAATCCTTAAGGATCTAGAGCTGCTCTTGTAGCAAAGCACAGGATTTAACACTGAAGAAAGAGCCTCATGTTCTAAACACCCCTGGCACACCTCTTCTGGAAGGGCCCCTGTGTTCCTGTTAGAGACAGGATATCAGGGGGTTAGTTAGGAAGTTGTTCACTTCTTCATTCTGGGAAAGTTCCATGGTAGTTTAAGAAAACAAGACCAATTCGTGTCTTCATGGAGTTTCCATTTTCCTAGAGAAACAGTCAACAACTGATCATGTCGATTTAATTAAAATTGGAATCACTGGAGAGAACGGTGCTGTGAACACAGATGACAGGTGGCTCTGGCTGTACCAACGCTCCTGGTAAGATCTCCCAAAGTTTGCACTGAGCCTTGTAGCAATGAACGGCAGTGTAAGCATGGCATACAGAAGCGCAGCGAGTGTGAAAAGCCGAAAGCCCAGAGAACTAGAGGGATGGGAGGGCCTAATGAGAGGAACGTGGACTGGTACCCATGCAGGCCACAGAACGGCATTAACGGTGGAAGGACTTTGGTATTTATCCTAAGAACAAGAGATCCTAAATTTCTTAATCTGGAATATGCCGTGGTCATATTTGCATTGTAAAAGGGTCATCCTGGGTAAAAAAGTGAACCAGAATCAAGGACAGGAGTAGAGAGATCAAATGGTGACTTTGGAACAATGGTAGCAGGGGGAGCAGGCGGGGGGCAGATAGTGAGTATTGTGATGAGATATCAAATAGTGGCAAGTCTTAGTGCTTGTTTGAGGGGCTGATAGGAGAGACAGAAGAATTAAGCATAACCCTAAAATTTAGGCTTCTTGACTAGGCAGAATATCCCATTAGAATCCCAATGGGCTTGTGGTTTGGGTGTGAAATTACCCTAAGAGCTCTGGGCTGAGCAGTTGGTCCAAGCTGCTGGTGGTATTTGGGTAGTTGGAAGTTTTGGGAGTAAAGCCTGACTGGAGGGAATAGGTTCTCGGAGAGATGCTGTCCCTCGCCCTTCCCTGCCTCTGCCATCATGAAGGGAAGCTCTTCAGCCACACATGTCTCACCATTACCATGTTCTGCCAAAGCACATGAGAACAAATAACTATTGACAAAACTCTCTGAAATCAAGAATGAAAATAAATTCTTAAGTTATTCTGGCATGTCTTTTGGTCACATAAATGGAGAGAGAAAAAATAATACAACTGGCTTTTGATTTCAAGGATAAATTTGGGGGGGGGTGACATACATCTAAATGGAGATAGGTGGGTGATCTAAGGTGAGTGGAAATATGCAAGTGCTCAGTGAATGGGTAGTAACAGGAACCACAGGCCCTGAGACGGCCTAGGAAACAGCAGAGCCAAAGACAGCTTTGAGGAACTCGAGTGGGTTAAAACACCAAGGGGAAGAACCCAGAGGTAAAAGGAAAAGAGGGAAGACTGGTCTCACAGAAAACTGGGGAATAGGCTGGGTGATGGTGGCACATGCCTTTAATCCCAGCACTCAGGAGGCAGAGGCAGGCAGATCTCTGAGTTCGAGAGCAGCCTAGTCTACAGAGCTAGTTCCAAGAGAGGTTCCAAAGCTACAGAGAACAAACAAGCAAACAAAAAACTGGGACTTTATGGCATGGACAGGAATAAAAGAATTGGGTAGTTGTGAAGAGTCTGATGCTGCTTAAAAGGCAAGCAAAATAAAGGTAAGTTCCATTGGAACTGCCATCTGAAGGCAGCAGATGACCTGGGAAGAGATAAGAAGCAAAGCCTATCTTGGAGTGCCTGAGATGTGTGTCTCCAGAGGAAAAGGAGAGCTCTGTGGGCTTTTTCATCAGATTAGAACAGGAAGAGGAGGGGAGTTAGTGTTTACTAAGAAGGGAGTCTTATAAAAGGGCATTGTGCTAGCTGGGTGTTGTCAGCTTGACACCAACTTAGGCATATCTAGAAAGAGGGTCTCTCATTGAGAAAAATATCTCCATAAGGTTGGGTATTGCCTTGGTATGGGAGGGCCTAGGCCACTGTGGGTGGTGCCACCCCTGGGCAGATGTTCTAGATGGTATAAGCAAACTGTGAAAGCCAGTAAGCAGCATTCTTCTACGTCCTCTTCTTCAGTTCCTGCCCTGACTTCCTTTGAACGATGGACTGTGATGTGGCAGTATAAGCAAAATAAGTCATTTTCTCTACAGATTGCTTTTGGTCATGGTGTTTTATCATAGCAATAGACACCGTACCTAAGACAGGTACAACTGCTATTGAGAAGGATCCAGACATTAACGCAAGAGAGAGAAGGAAGTGCAATTCTCAGTTCTGTGTGTGTGCATGCCCCTATGGAGGACAGGCTGATGGCAGGTATCCTCTATCACTCTCCACCTTTCTGAGAAAGGGTCTCTCACTGAACTGGCAGCTCACCAATTGGGCTAGACTGGCTGGCTGACCAACAAGCTCTGAGGGCCCTCTTTTGTCCTCCCTGCTGCCTTTGGAATTAGACCTATTCCACCACACTCAGCTTTTCCATGGGTGCCAGGGTCTAGGCACGAGCCTTTATGCTCTCACGGAGAGCTCTTTACCTACTAAGCCGGTTCTCGGTCCATCTCAACCTGTGCTTTAGGGCTGACTAGACAGACTGCAGGGACAGTGCAGATAGTTTTGGGGACAGAGTACCCAATCACTGACTGCTGACTGGGCTCCTAACTCTAGTTGCCTTTATAAGTAGCATTCCCTCACAAGAGGTCCTGCAGACTGTTCTCTGCAGAATGTAGTTCGCTAAGGCCTGGCAGTGTCACCAACCCTCCTCCCATTTCATGATTCCCACATTAAACCAGCACCCTGCTCGTCACAGGCCTGGGTTTCATAGCATCGCTCGAAAGTAAACTACTTACTGTGGGACTGGAAATTTGGTCTCGGGGATTAAATCATACACATCTTGCCACTCCTGGGGTATGTCAATGAAGTCTCGGTAAGCCTTGATTTGTAGCACTGTTCCTATGGTGATATTTTGCAAAAGCTTTAACAATTCACGGAGGGTATAGCCTAACACGTTGGCATGCCCAACACTAACCAGAACATCACCTGAAAAAGGAAAAACAGTTCAATTAAGATAGTGGGTTGAAAAGGGTCATGCTGATCAGTGGCTTTATTGAAATATTTTATGGATTCATATGATGGTTTATTCTGACCAAAGCCTGTCTTCCATCTTAATTTACTAAGGACATTCTCCTCCAGTATAAATGTTCTCAGCATGAGAACACTCCCTAATTTTTAATAGGCATTTAATAGTATTTTTGAGACACTTCTGAAGTTCTTAGCTAGTAAGTTCTTAGCCTCTGGGAAAGAGGCTAAAACCATTTAAAACCCAAACCATTTAGATTTAAGATTCTAAACACAGTCAAATGAGCAGCTATAACTAGTAAAAAGCAAGCCATTCCGCCTGCCTGGGATCACCAAGCCCTCCACAGCAAATATCCTAAATTAAGCATGAAAGCTTCTCTTGGAGTTTTCTGCCCCTGTCCTAAAGTAAACTAACCAAATAACTGTATGTTATAGTAGATAATTAGCTTGTGTTGATTATGCTTATGATATGTAATGTAGAAATCTAAGCTTGTGCTCCTCTTGCCTCTACCTCTTCAGCATATCCCACTACAACCTGCAGAACTGGTTCAGAACACTGAGAGCAGGACCCCCTCGTGTAAAACACGCTGTGTGGAGAATTGTGATGGTCGACCAGAGGACTTCTGGTCACTCAGCAGGCAGAAAGAGATAAATATCCTAGCAACAAAAGCCTAGGTCCCCAAAATGAAAACTAAAGGGATCAATTATTCACTTGTATGGACCTAACCCATTCCACCCCTAACTCCCACCAGCTACAATAAAGATCTGTAAACTTAACTGGGTCACCCAGCAGTCCTATCTGGGTCTGAACCTGCATTGGGATGACTGGAACACCCAGATCTCTGGATCCTTTGGTCTCTCCCTGTTTTCCAAGCTTGGTTTTCCAGATTTTTGGGCAATCCAATCAGATGCTGTCCTAAATTAAGTGCCTTAACAATACTGTTTCCTGTTGCTTGCAATAGGGAGCATGAATACTAGCATTCAGCCAAGCTCAGAAGGAGGAATATAGAAGGCTTGCACTTCAAGGACAGATTCAGTCTGGGGAAGTCTTATCAATACGTCTCAGTGGGAGCAGATGAAGTCCTGAGTGTACGGTTGACATGGGTAAGGCTTTGACAAGGACCCCAATACAGGCAAGACCTTGTCAAGGACCCCAATACCCATGGAAGTGGCAAAGCCTTCCTTTGGTCCAGGTCTGAGTGTTTTGACCAGTGTGCAAACACTAGCACCTGCAGCTTCCCCTTGGATGACTGCAGCCTGGCACTCCTCCTTTACAGAGACCTCCTACTGATAGGAACTAACTCCTTCTCCTTGTGATGTACCCTCCATCACAGCGAGCACAGCCCACCCAATCCCGGCTTCTCTGTGTGTCTGTGGTTCCCTCAGTGTTGGCATGTCCTCATACCTGTATTGCTGTCAGGACTTTATAACTGATACAGGATAGCAGATTATCTGTATGTGCATGTGAGGTTAGGAGCCCTCAGTAACCCTCATTCCAAGACAGGCAAACTCAAACTGGAAGAGAGGGTGAGGGAGAGGCTGGTGCTGGGTCCCATTGCAGGCTAGCCAGGAGTTACACGGGTCCTGAGGCGTGTCCAAGCACGGCTGGGGGCCACATTTCTTTAGGTAAGATCCCAGTAGAAACGCGTTTCCACTGTTCTAGAAAGTAAGCACTTAGAAAATCTGAGGAATCCTTCTGCATTGGTTTTGAGAAGCAGATGAAGATAAAGCCAGTCACATATTGAGCCGGACACACTAGCACATGTGCCTGTAAAACTGGTATTCAAAAGCCTGGAGGGGGGCAGCAGGCAGGGGGCGGTGGCGCAGGCCTTTAATCCCAGCACCTGGAGGCAGAGGCCAGGCGATCTCTAAGAGTTTGAGGGCAGCCTGGTCTACAAAGTGAGTTCCAGGACAGCCAGGGCTACACATGGAAACACTGTCTCGCAAAAACAAAAACCGAAAGGGCTGAGGCAGGAAGAGGGACAGTTCAAGGCCAGCCTGGGCTACACAGTGAGACTCTGTCTCAAAAAATCAAGGCAAACAAAAACAAAAGCTGTACTGAGACTGGCTTCAGAAAGGTTTCCCTCAGAGCTACCTGCAGCCTGCGCTGTTGAAACAGCTGCTCTTCCTGCTGCGGTTAATGACAGTAACAAAGTTATCCTCTTAGGATGAGCTCATGGGCCTGATGTTAAAAGGGTGTTTATAGCTGAAAACTATGGCTTGACATTCTGCTTAATTATGCTGTAAGAGGGTGACTTTTATCAAGAGAATAGAAATTAAACAGTTCAATTCCCTCACCATTCTGGCTTTAAGCCAAATATGTCGGGGTAGTAATGTGATTGCTCTGGCAGGAGATATTAACACCGCCTTTCATCAACACCAATTTGGTATTTATGAACAATAACCTCATAATGCATCTTTTTTTTTCCTGCTTTAATAGGCTATAGGAATGACACTGTATAAGCCTGTTTAGACTGCCCGTATTAAATCAACTATGCAGCAGCCACACCACTGCTGGAAGATAGGTTTTCTTTTTCTCTGTTCCTTCCAACTAGGATGGAAGCTATATGCATCTTGTGTGGTTAGGATCACATTCGTTTAGCTCTCCGCTGTTAGGAAACACAGGACCTGGACATGGGAAGGAATTAAGGAAATGCAGAATGAATGAATGAATGAATGAATGAGCATCGGTATGGCTAACTAAATGTATGAAGCTAGTTCATGGCTGCTGTCCCCTGTCAAAGCTGTATTAATATTTTAAAGCTGTAGTCGTGTCTTAAGACTTTGTACATCAGACAACCACAGAAAACTAATACCAAATTAGCAAATCAAGATAAAACACCAAAGACAAAGAACTTTAGAACACGTGAATGAGAAATAATACAACTCCCATGATTGCTGTTAAAAATGATGGAAAAGCAAATTTTGAAACCTAGACACTGAATAGTAACTGGTTTTCATGAAAAGATTTGGTGCCCAGAATATCTGCATTGAAATCTCACTTCTTTCCAGGTGAGGCAGGCTAGCTACACAGAGACACAGAGAAATCCAGTTGTCAAAAAAAAAAAGCAAAAAACAAACAAACAAACAAACAAAAGAAAACAAAGAGGGAAAACAAAGAAATTACACTTCTGCTCATTAGGCCATTGGCAACATGGTATGGGTTTTCTAGGAGGTCATGGATTCAAATCTTACCTTTGTCCACAATCCTTATGCTATATATATGAGGTAGAGAATGATCAAGGAAGACCCCCCCACATCAGTCTGTGGCCTCTATATATTCCTCACACACACATATGCAGAAAAGCTAATCTCTAAAAGACAACTAGTTATATAGAAGCCATAAGAATATTTCTAGAGTACTTGTTTTCAAAGCTCTTCACAATATTTTACCACATCCCAACAACCTAGAACAGAGACGAGATTCTCCCAAGGTAGAAATGAAGTCACTGAGGCTGCAAAGATTGACTTTGCCAAGGTCAGAGAAAGAAAGTGACAGATCTCAGAACAAATGGCCTGGAGTAATTTTCCCTCATGATTTCATCCCAGAGTCTCCCCCACTGCTAGGCACAGCACCAGGGCCCAAGGCAGATGTGGGGAAACATGTCTTGCATTAGATAGAAAATGCACCCGCCCAGTGACCTCAGAAGTTAGGTGATCTTGATGAAAGCCTTGGCCTTGGAATCTGAGAGGGAGAGTTTTAAATTCCGACTCCTAGGTATAACAGGACAAGCTCCTAGGTAGCTACATAGTTGCATAGTGGCTTAGTGCAGAATATTCTCCTGGGGCTATTGAGAAGGTGAAAGGAGATCACGTGTCTCCACGTTAGTTGTGATCAGCACCTCCCAGGAAAGACGGGATCTTGATGCTCAGTCACGACCTGGGGAGAGACGCCTGGTCTGTGAGAGAGAACCTGGCCAGGAAGGCTCTGCCACTAAGCTCCAGTTTCCTCACCTGCAAAAGAGTGAGAACATGCCTGCCTAGGGTGTTACTAAAAACCAAATGAATAGCGGGTAACTGATGAGTATACAAGTGGCAGCAACTGAAATTCTCAGACAATGTCATAGTCTCATGCTGAGTCCCTGAAGGCAGGTGGGAAGGAGGCGTGTGGAGACCACAGTCACCTGGCTGGAGTATCCCGTCACTGGCTGCAGCCCCTTTATTGATGAGGTGACTAATCTGGAGGTAAGGCCCATTCTGGATGATGATCAGGCCCAATCCCAGGCTGCCCACAGTGAGTTTGGTCTGCCTCATTTTGTTCAAGCTGTGTACAGACGTCTTGACCTTCAAGCTGGATCCTTTTTCTAACAGAACAAGAGGAACTTGTTTCAGTCATTTCTCAAGACAGTGGCAGGGCAGCGGTGCTGTGCAGTTCTGAAACTAGACTTTGGGGGCACTTACGTAGTCATCCTAGTCTTCAGTTTCCTTCGGGAAAATGAGTGGTGTAAAGGGTATGGAAATGAGATGGGACAGTTACAGGGCTACTGTACAGTATAGGACATCACGGGTGCTTAAATCAGTTACTATCTTCCGTTCACTTGACAAATGTTTATTGATGCAAACCGTGTACTCTGTGGCCCTGGGTTTACTACAGTGGACTAGATGGGCTCACTGCCCTTGTGGGTCTTACAGCTAGTAGAGGACACAGCTGTCTGGCAGTTGTGTCAACACAAATTAGACGCTAAATAGGAAGGCAGAACGCTCTGAGGTTAAACAACAGGGAACCTAGGTTTCACAGGGATAGAGACCAGGTTTCTCTGAAGGAATAAATATAGATCAGGCTGAGAGAACCAACAAGCTAGATGTGAGGGAGCAAATAGCATCAAGGTTCTAAGACAGGAAGGCTGGTTCCAGCCCCCCTTGATGGGGACACAAAGGAGCAGCACCGGGCAGGTGGTGGGAGGGGCACTGCTTGGCAGATGGGCTGCCCGCCAGGTTCACCTTAAGGAAATCTTGGAAGTAATTTAAACTGGACATGCTCAGGTTGTCATTGTTTTAAATAAAATCACCATGCTGGCTGCTGTGTGATACGGAGATGAGGAAGGAAGAGCAGACGGTAGTCACTCAACCATGTCACAGCCCTGGGAACAGAAATGGACAGTAGTAGATCCGCACAGCATCTGGGAGAAAATGCACCATTCCACACACGGGCCAGCGGTGCTCTGACATTCACCAGACCAAGGCCGAGTCTGTGTGATTGTGGTGTGTCTAGGATCACTGCTGAGACGGGCTTCCCCAGGAGGCTCATGACTGTCCTCAAAGCCAATGTCCTTGCTAGACAACTCTAACCAACTTCAGTTGGAGAACTGAAGCTTACAAATTAAATGTGCTACTAATACAGTAATAATATCAGTGCTACTAATAAAATAAATGTGTTACTAATCAAGTAATCTTGTTTTAAAAGATAGCAGTGGTGTGGACAGGATGGCTCAGCAGGTAAAGGTGCTTGCGGCTAAGCCTGACAGCCTGAATTCACTCTACGGTATCCACATGGAAGAGAGAACTGACTCCCACAATGCCTCCCAAACATACAAATAGAATTTTTAAAAATTTAAAGACAGCAGAGTGAAAGGAATTACTAAAAAATTTCTATACATGATTCCACGTTTAGCCATTCTCCCTGGAAAAAGCAAAATTTTAGAAAACATTGAAAGTACAAGAAATCGGGGTGGAGAAAGGTCAGGGAGGTGGACACGTTTCCTCACTTGATTGTGGCAGGGGTTAAGAGTGGTATATACTTGTTGAAACTTACGGAGATGTCCACTAAAAAAAGGAGAATTGCGTTCTATCTTGATGAACAACCAATGGTGAGAGATTCCCATGTGTAACTGCCACTTTACAGGAGAGGCAGATCAAGGAAGGCTTGGAACCCAAGGCATCATCTTTATCCTATTTAGACATTTACCATTTTTGCTTTTGACGGGGGCCTTCTCCATTGCCCAGGGCGGGGTCTGTCGATCCTCCCGGGAGCCCAGGCTGGAATCTGTCCAACTTCCAACAGTTTGGAATCCTGGAGGCGGAAGATCAGGAAGAACCACAGGCCACCGGCAAAGACTGGCGCCGCCCGTCCCCCTAAATGGCCGCCAGGGTGCGCTGTAAGGCTGCTTCCCAGATTTGGGGCAGCCAGACAGTGGTTTCAAGGCTTCAGCAGACCCTGAAAAAGTGCGGCACAAACGAAAACTACTCCACTGTAGAGTGTGAAAATTTATGCCGGGGGAGGGGGGGAGGAAATTTCTGCAGGACCGAGCAGAGTGCTGCTTCAAGGCTCTTCATTCATTGGTGGGAAAACAATGGGGACAGAGCAAGAGCATAGAGGGGAGAGGGCCTCCAAATGTGAGCAGCAACATCAAGGGGGACCATAACCATCCCATAATTCCCTAAATAGTGGCATTAAAATATTGTTACATCAACAACGCTAACTGCCTTGCCAGTGCACTTTACTCATGCCTGTTTTAGATGGGAAAGGGCCAAGAGTGGCCCAAAAACAATGAGTCACTATTAGAAAATGATTATTGCTCCTTCGTTTTCCTGAAATAATCCTTCCTCCCCATCACATTCACTCATACAACAAAAATTCACTGGAAGCCAGTCTGTGGCTTCTGGGGATGCTGAAGACATGAGAGTATATGAGACAAACATGGACTTTACCCTTTTGAAACACACAAACACACACACACTTTCCCCAAACAGGGTATCTCTGTGTAGCCCTGGCTGTCCAGGAACTCACTCTATAGACGTGGCTGGGTTCCAACTCAGAGATCCACCGGTGTCTGCCTCCTGAGTGCTGGGGTTAAAGATGTGAAAACCACTGCAGGGCCAGAACTTGCATTTTTAACACAGACGGAGGGGAGAATTTTAGGAAACTATAAATCATGAAAAATCAATTCTAGAAGAAAGAGAAAATACTGAAATAATGTGGGTCGCCACTCTCATGAGAGAAAAAGTAATCCCCTTGCCGCAGGGCATCCAGCCTTTTAGCAAACAGCAAGCAGCGCCTACTGAAAGCCAGGCTGTGCCAAGATTTTTAGGGTGAACCTGGAAAGGTCTCAGTCTCGTCTTCTGTTTCTCTAGCTCTGGCCAAACAATATACCAGGACGAATTTTCATTGAGTAGCGCCCATCTTCTAGAGTTTTGTGCAAAGGATACCTCCCGCTGCATGCCTCATAGGAGAGACAGGCTGCCTCTTCCAGTCCGGCTGGGATCTACTCGGGCGCTAAGGGTACTTAGTCACAACGTGCATCCTTTACCTCCACTTTCCTGACGGTGGGAGATGGGCAAATGTGGGGGTGATGCATATTCGCCTTATGGTGGGAAAAGTTTCTTCCGAGTAGATGCCAAGGGCACACTGTCTAGAAGGAATGCGTGACACAAAGTCTCAAGTCTACTGTGTGGACTTCCTTGCAAAGCTAAATAACTTGACCATCCCCCCTGTCCCCTCCAGCTCCTGCTGCTGTTTTTGAGAGTGCTTTACCCAGGATCCCACGTCCCTAGAGCAGCTAACAGGGAGTGGCCAGTGCCAGGTCATCCCAGAGCTCCCAGCAAGCCTAGCTGTGGCCCTGCCGTGGCTGCCCTATAACCTGACTCTCTGTGTAGCCCTGTTTCTTTTTCTCCACCCAGAGATATGGAGCCTGAAAGCATTCTCTAGTAACTCCTTGCAACTCAGCCTCTTCTCTAGAGAAGCCAACCCCCAGCGTCAAGTGCTAGAGATTGCCCGAAGTGGAGCTGCTAAGAAGGGATTCAGGAGCTGAACCACCCAGTAGAAGGAGGATCAAGCAGGAGAACTCGGGCAGTCTCGGGCACAGGGAAGCCCTAGAATGCAAAATGTTTTCTTATAAATGGGATAGAGTAACAAAGGAAGAAAATGTACTGACCTGGATCATGAACACATGATAAGACAGTCCTCGGGCCAGGAGCAACCTCCAGAAAAGCCGCAGACTGCTGTACTGACGGAGTGTGGGGGCAATGCTTGGCACTCAACTAATCCATCTTGCCACAGTACTCTCCTATCCTGCTTCTCACAGTAAATGGACAAATGTAACAAGTGCATAGTCACAAACATTTGGGGAAATGAGGGTCTAAGTCACCACAACGAATAAGTCACAGCAGAGGTTCTGATAAGAGATAAGAGGAATTGTGAGTATGAGAGGGAAATAATGAGAGGATTAGTTTTGTCTCAGAGCAGTGCCCCCCCACCCCATAAGAGGGCCACCATGGTCCTGTGGGAGCTGCTCTCAGACCTTAAAAGAAGCAAACCAAAATTGAGAACAAAGCCATAAAAAGAAATGACAAGCTTCTTGTTTCTTTTTTGAGACAGTCTCTCTAGGTAACCTAGGCTGATCTTAGAACTCACAGTCCTCCTACCTCAGCCTGACATAGACAAGGATTGCAGGCATGTGCCGCTACACCTAGCCTTGTATATACTTTGCAAAACTTTTCTTAGTTTGGTATGTAGGTATACATCTTTAATTCCAGTACTCAAGAGGCAGAGGCAGGTGGATCTCTCTGAGTTTGAAGCTAGCCTGGTCTACAAAGTGAAATTTGAGGTCTGAATTCCATACCAGACTGGGTTATATAAGATCCCATCAGAAGGCAGGCAGTGGTGGTACATCCCTTTAATCCCAGCACTCAGAAGGCAGAGGCAGGCAGATCTCTGCATTCAAGCCCAACCTGGTCTAGAGTTCTAAACTGAGTTCCGGGACAGCCAGAGCTTTACAGAGAAAGCCTGTCTCAAAAATCAAAAAAACAAAAGCACTTTATGATTACAGAGATACAGAATATATTGCCAAATGCACCTGTGGAGCAAATGCTGGCCTGCACAGCTCAGGTGCCCCTCACAGTGGGCACTGGTTCTCGGCTATGGGGATGGCTGTAGATCAACTGATCTCAGCTATGTGTCTTTTTAAAAAATATTTATTTATTATGTATACAATATTCTGTCTGTGTGTATGTCTGCAGGCCAGAAGAGGGCACCAGACCCCATTACAGATAGTTGTGAGCCACCATGTGGTTGCCAGGAATTGAACTCAGGACCTTTGGAAGAGCAGGCAATGCTCTTAACCACTGAGCCATCTCTCCAGCCCCAGTTATGTGTCCTTTAAGGGTGTTTGTGCATGTTTACTTGCATGTGCACATGTAGGACAGAGGACAGTGCCACTCTCCACCTTTTTAAAAACAAAACAAAACAAAACCACAAAAGCCAAGCAGGGTCCTTCACTGAACCTAGAGCTCATCAATTTGGCTAGACTATCTGGTCCACGAGTCCCAGGGACCCTCCTGGCTCCACGTCTCCCAGCAGGGGGTCGCAGGTGCCGTGCCTGGGCTCCGTGGGTTCTAAGCAAGTCCTCACGCTTGCACAGTAAGCACCTTACCACCTGAGCCATCTCCCCAGCCCTCTGTTGGTCTTCTTGGCTGAGTGGGCTGCCTTCCCCCAGGCTACACCCATCCCCTAGGGTGGCACCTCATGCCTGGTCAGTACTAGAAGACTTCATCGCTTTGTCCTGACAGAACTAAAACACCCACTTAGCTTGAGATTCTTTCAGTCTGCCAAAGCCTCCTGTGCCTGCCGCTGATTTCTGCCCAATCCCACTTCCTCTTCCCCTCACGGGAAATAGTCCTGAAAGAGCTTCCTATAAACTTCCTACACACCACCGATCAATGACTTTTCATCTCAGAGGCACGTCCAAGAGAACCAACCTACAAGACAAACTGCCCTTTGAGCCTTGGGTATAAAATAAGATCCCCCTTCACCTCTGGATTTGACATTTGTTTCTCTAACCCTAAGAATCCCATGTACACATATGCAACATATCTACCTACCACACTCTTGGCCCATGTAGTGAACTTGACCCCCAGAGAGAAAGCGTGTTCATTATCCTGTCGGAGCAAAGATGCTCCTTCAGGCACAGAGTAATGGCCCAATGTCTCCCAGTTCTCCCTGAAGTCCCATCTAGAGTCAGCCTCTTCTGGGCTGAGTCCTGCCATCCGTCACAATAAAGCACACCATATTTACAGTCCTTTAACAGCCACAGTGTGGCTATTTATGTCTTCGGGCTGCCTGCATAGATCCCTCCTGGGGCCCTCTAGGATCTTATGGGTCCCCAAGGAGTTCTACCATAAAGAGCATGGTGGCTCGTGTCTCAATAGAAAGATCCCAGCTGTTTTGTGCAGGTGAGTGCTGCGATACTTCTATCATGGAGAGAAGAGTCTGTTGGGGGAGAGGGGAGAAAAAGGCCCAAAGAAAGGACATGGATTTTTCAAGTTCAAGTCAGCAGCAGAGCTGGGATTAGAACATATTTCTGCATGCTTTTTGTTTTACCTCACCCCTTCCTCCCAAGGACCTCAGGTTTGCTTCTACTAAAATCCAGAGAGAGCTGCAGGGAAGGGAGCTGCTTTGCCCTATAAGCCTCAGAGGCATAGAACTCTGAATTATCAGCGCTATTGGAAAACAAGAACACAGCGCAGTACAAAAATGGAAGAGAGTGGAAATTCCGTGAAAAGTATATTCAGGTCCTTATAACCACGCCCCCATCCTAGTTGGCAGGAAAAGATCAGGCATATCACTGATACCTACAATGATATGCAGCCACTAGCTGATAGGAAAGGATGTTTTAATCCTTCTGACACACACACACACTTTAATCTGTGGTCTAGAATCTTGGGTGGAGGAATACACACTAAGAAGTTCTGGAAAATACTGTTAAGGTAAAAGGAAGAGTTTAGACTTATTATCTTTTAAACACCATAATTAAGGCAGCCTCATCCCACTGAGCTGGAGTCAGAACAGCTGCAAACTGTCCCAACACTCAACCTTGGCCAGTTACGGTGAAGAATTCATCACTGTATCATTATTATTCTTTTATCCTGGGCAATCAAAACAGCAGATAAGAAGCCAAAACTTCCCCAGTCCTTCAAACTTCCCCAGTACTCAAAATGAAAGGGAAGAGCCATTGCAATAAACTGGTATGCATTCTATCTGAATCCCCAAAACATATGAATTAGCTATGTCAGTATCTATGGCAGCGGAAAAATAAATTATGTAATTAAAAAAATTACTTGCCCCCAAGAGACCAATGTTTGGGTTGCAAAGTCTTAAACCACCCATCAGATCCTTTCTCCCTAACCGCTGTGGTGCACTGATATCATAGCGGCACATTTCTGCAAGGATGCTGGATTTGGTGGAATTTGAAACCTGCTGAGTTTTGTGGACATGTAGGCACTCCAAAAATAGAATCAGATGTCACCCTTCTAGGTCTTTCTAGAGATAGCTTAGGTGGCACATAAGAAGAAAAATCATCTCCACTTGCTCTGTGCGGTGCTGAGAAAGAGATGGATCTAAAGCCAGGGTTAATGGTGATTTAGCAGAGAGCCCTGGTGGAAAGAAACCTCCGGGGCATAGCAAAACCATAGACAAATCCTCTCTATTATTGTAACAATTTATATTACCATTTCCTGTTTTATGTACCCAATCGAAGGCTCTCCCCACACCTCACTCTGTAAATGGTATCAATAAACCTCTGGCTGGCAAAAGCTAACAAGCACTTCAGGTTCTCCTTCCGTTATCACCAAGTCTTCCCCTCTGCAAAATACGCACATCTGGCCGCCCATTTTTCTCTATCTTGACTACTCTAGCTAAAAGCCACAATTCTGTCTTAGACTACTCATACACTTCTGCTGTCCCTGTATTCACTGCCCCTCATCCACTATAATCTATTTACACGATAGATCTTCACAAACTAAAGTCACGCCACTCTCCTTGCCTCCCGTTCCTTCACATTGCGTGTGGAATAAAATCCAAACACCACACATTTGGGTGGTTAGGGAATTTAAAGGCAGGATCTCACTATTTAGTCCAGGCTGCCATAGAACTGATGGCTCTCCAGTTTCCGCTTCCTCAGGGTTGGGATTTACGGGCGCGTGCCCTCCCGAATCCCACCTCTGGCCTCTGGCTACCTTTCCTCAAACCACTGTAGTCCCACGGGCCATTTAGCAGGTCCCTGAACACGACAATCTTTCCGCTTTCTCTCTCCCCAGTGCCCGTTTCCTGACTCTGGAAGAGTCTGCACCTGAACCTCGAAGGACAAATCTTTAAGATCTCAGTGGCCTATGTCTTGAACCACCACTGAGCCCACAGTCGCCCACAGCACCGGGCTGAGCCGACGCCCCCTCAGGAAGACTCTGCAGAGCAGTCCTGGGCGCCGCCGGCCGGCGCGCGGTTTCGCTTCCGGGTGAGGGGCGGGCGGGCCGAGCAGTTCCGGGGCGGGCG